TTTACTAAGTGCTGGTTTCATCATTAAAAAAAAATTAAGGGGCCAATGTGCTAATTGACAAATGAATTGACAATGATTAATTGAAGTTAATGAGCAGTTATTTGAGTTAGAAAAATTCATAAGGAAAGACACCTCAGATGTATAAAAAGATGATGTCAGATGAAGTGGATTGGAGCTGGATATTAAAAGGGTAGAATTTGGATTGCAAGAAAGAGGAGTTCCTTGTTGTTTGAATCCTATTGGGAAAAAAAATGATTTTAAGAGTCTTTGCAAAGATCTTTGTTTAGAATATAATAAGAAACTGGTTAGGCTAGAAGAGAATTTATGGAAATAATCTGCAGTAAGACTAGAAAGCATATTGAAGTGTTATTATAATTTGAATGCCAGGTTTAAAAAAATGGAGGTTTATCTTTTTGTTTAAAATATCTTCAGAGAATTTCTGAATTTCATAGAGATATGACTAAAATAGTGCTTTAGAAACATTTACTTAGTACCTGGTGGATTTCAGGTTGGAAGCAGAAAAGACTGGAGTAAGGAGATCAATTAGAATACTAATGCAATAGTGTACGTGTGGTAGGGCGGGGAGTCTGAGACATCAGTTTGGAGCTTAAGTAACAATGTATTTATTTATTTTTTTTAAGTTGTTAATGGCCCTTTACTTAATTTATTTATTTATATGTGGTGCTGAGAATTAAACCCAGTATCTCTCACAGAGAGGCAAGCACTCTAGCACTGAGTACAACCCCAGCCTAAGTAACAATGTATTTTTTTCTGCCTCTATTAAAATTATATTTTAAGTAACATATGGAGGGGTCAGAGTAGGGGGAAACCAAACACCTTATTTAACTCAAATGTTTGCTCCTGGGCATTTGGCATGCCTATAATCTAAGCAATGAGAAAATTTGAGGCAGGAAGATCACAAGCTTGAGGCCACCCAAGCAATTTAGTGAGACCCTGTCTAAAATAAAAAATTAAAAGATCCGAGGATATGGTTCAGTGGTAGAGCACTCATGGTTTCAGTCTCCAGAACCACACATACAAAACAGTAATAAAAATAACAGTAATTTTTTAAAAATCTGGATACCTTGCATTGACTTTCCTATATGTATATTTAAATATTCTGTTAGGAGAATATACCTGGGTAGTTTTAATTTGCATTTCTCTACCAGATATCTTTGTTCCTGTATATGTGTGTGTGTGTGTACGTGTGTGTGTGTGTGTGTGTATGTGTCTTACCTAGGGTGCTCTACCACTGTGCTATAGCCCCACCCCTTTTTATTTTGAGACAGGATCTCATAAATTACCCAGACTGGCCTTTAATTTGTGATTTTCCC